AGAGGTCGTCTGCCATGTGGGCCTGGCGCCCCATCCAGGGCATGGCCAACATGAGCCCTCATTGCAAAAGGGAGAGGCACAGCACCGCGAGGCGCACTCAGCGGGTGAGCATCCCCAGGCGGCATGCGCGAAGCAAGAGGTGGCTGAGGTGGCTTCAAGTGAGCCAGAAGTTGGCCCAAAGTTGTCCTTGCGGGAGTCCGCTCAAGAGGAAGCCCAAAGGCCGCACGCATCGGCCAAGAGTTCGCGCTCCAAACCCAAAGCGAATCCATCAGCCACCGGCAATGAGAGCAGTGACAGGCCCACGTTGACTGAGCAAGTGTTGAAGCTTTACATTGCCAAGCATGGCGATACGCCAACAAAACCAGGTCAGCTGGTAGCCTTTGGCAGCCACAATGGCATGCCCGTCAGTTTCATAGACGCGCGAGATCTGCTTGTACGCCTGCCGCAAACCGGCAAGCTTGTGCTTTTCTAGGTAAGTTGCAGTGTCGCTGCGTCACCGACATGCGTGACGAAGGATCACGGGCCGTGAAAGCCACGGCCACGATGTCGTTCGCTTGTGCCTGCTTGCAGGATGAGTGAACGTGCGTTTCTGTTTGGCGCGGCAGCCTGAACCGCCAAACTAGCCGTCCCATTGGGCTACGGGCTGTGAAGATCACAGTCTTGCTGCCCCATTTTCTCCACACGCTCTTCGCCTGCCTTTGCCTCTAGTCCAACGACGCCTTGCAGCTTTGTCTCCTCGCAAATGAAGTGCAGCATTGTGGAGGAAGTTGCGATTCAGTAGATGGTAGTTTCCCAGAATTAGGGGGCCCCGCTATAGAACCCAATATACTATAAACCTTACTATGGGGAACCCCCCAGATGAATGTTGTTTTCTGACGTTCCCAGGTCCTGACCCACTTCTTCACGCCTGGGCTCGCGATCCATTGGGAGCAAGGCTTGGGCCTCACCATGTGCTGGGGGTGATAGGGTTTCTAGGGGTATATAGGGGATATATAGGTCCAATGGAAAATAATATGCAATATCAGGGTATCCCCACAACCCGAAAGCCCAAGCCCTAAGCCCCATTCCCCAATCCCTCAACCCCGAACCCCCAAAGCCCAAAGCCCCAACCCCAAACCCAGAACCCTTGATCTTTCAGGATTTCCGCGTTATTTATTTACAGTCGCCTGGCGAAGGCATTACGATGGTTCAGGCTTCAAGGCTGCAGGTGGTTTTTCCCTGAGGACAGAATACTGTGACGCTGGCGATCTCGTTGAAGTTTGTGAGACGAATGACCTATCAGTGTCCAGTATTTGCGAGATCCTTTGCGGTGTGATGTCTGCCCTGGCTTATCTACATCATGTTGGCATTGTACACCGCGATGTCAAGGCGGAGAATGTCGCTATCCACAAAGACCGAGCTGTGCTTTTGGACTTCGGCATCTCTGCTTGGCTCTCGGATGAAGCAGCCATGGCGCAGCATGTAGGTACCCTGGCTTACACAGCTCCGGAAATCATCAACAAGCAGCCGTACAACGAGATGGTGGACGTTTTTGCTGCAGGCATTCTTGCGCACTGGCTGTATTTTGGCATGTTTCCAGCACCACGCGATGTGTGCACCAATGATGCTGTGGACTTCCCAGAAAGGGCAGAATGTCCAAAGCAGGTTCCCGACTGGGTACAACAGCTGCTGGCAAGGATGCTGTCACAGCCTGCAAAGAGACCAGGTGCTCTGGAATGTTATTCCCTGCTCTACTGTAGTCTAAACGTCTAAAGTAGGCTGTCCGACAGTTTCATGGCAAGTCGGACAGCCTTGGCTTCAGTGGGTCTGGAGATTCCCCGTGACCTGGATGTCAAAGGAGGTGCTCCCCGACAGGAGGGCGGAAGAAACTTGCCCATACATTACCTGATATTAATTTTGCTGATGTGTTAGCAGTCTCACCATAGCAGCCGATCGGCCTCAAATGGGACAAGATCCCAGACGTTGACCGCCTCTGGTTTGAATCAGGCATCATCGGCAGCCCAAGAGCGCGCGCTTTGATGCATATTGTTTTTTCAGGGACTCTTGCTGCTTGCCGAAGGCATTCAACATGCCTCCCTGGATGTATGCATGCATGCCGCGCTATCATGGATGCCACGCTGGCATTCTTATGTTGATTTTCGGGCCATGTGCCTTTGAGCACAGCTGGCTTCTAGTCTGTCCAAACACAGAGCACTCTTTCTTCAGAGTGCGTGCTGAGATCTTAGGGCTTCTCGCCGACATTCCAAGGTGCAAGCTCTCGCGAGTGAATCTTGAAAAAGTCACTGCTTCGTTGCAGCTCTGGAGCTAATAGCTTGCAGCCTTATTTCTAAGCGTCTTGTTGTTGAGCCTGTCAAGACCTCAGCCCATGTGCTCTCAGTGCCGACACCTGTATACCACTTTGAGCGAGCTGTCGGCTGGCAGGTCGCTTACCAAGTGTCATGATTGCAAGAGCTGTGTTCTTCTGCTTGGGCTTGGATTGTTCCTTGGCTTGAGCATGCAATCTTACCCTAGGTCCAAGGGCTGTGCTGGTTCAACCCCGACGCCGCCAATGCTGTAGGCTTGCCCGCTAGGACAGATTGTTGCGAATTGGAACCTGGCTGCGATTTGATGATGTCTTGAGCTGTTTCCTGCCGTGGACTATCGTAGCATGAGGCGCGCTGACTGGAAAGAGGATAGCAAACAGGGACGCTAGGCAGTTTTGCTTGGATTTGAGGGCGAAGACTCTGATGCAGGCTGCGAGGGTTCCCACAAGAAGGACTCGCGGCCTTGAGTCACTAGGCAAAGCCCGCTGGTGGACTCGGCAGGTTTCCCAGCTTGCGAGTGTTGGGGTTCAAGCGTAGACAGGATCCCTTGTCTCTTCGTCGCAGACCGTTGTCAGGAAAATGCTTGCCAAGCCTTGCAGTCAAGATCCTGCTGAAGTGGGCTTGCTCGATTCGATAGTGCAGGGTACATAGCATGGGCTAAGCTCACTCTACGCCGGAATGTGCGTGTGGAACCCATTGCCAATTTTCTTGATGTGGGCTGATGCTATGTCAATGTACCCAGCTAGGTAGCTGGACTTGGACTTCTACATCACATCCCTGCTCGTGGTGCGCACCCGTTATGCCCAGGATGGTGCTCATGCTAGTCAGGCTTATGCGTGGCTCGAATTGGAGGTGTAGTATGAAGCTTAACATAGCATCAACTCGCAACAGCCTCAAGTCCTGAATCGCTCAGACAGCTTCAACCTTGTAGCCTTGACTCCGAGTCACATTCTGGAGCCTACCCAGTCATGCAGGCAACGTCCACATCCCACACTCCAACCTGATTTTTCTCAAGTGCCTTCGCAAGCACTGCCCGGTCTGATTGGTAATTAGGATGCTCCTGGGCGCCATGAGAGAAGGGCAAGGATTCTGATGGTCTTGGCTGAAAATGCAGGATCCTCAGCTACTTGCTCGTTCCCGCCTGTTAAGAGATGAGCTGAGTTGCTCCCCCAAGGTCAGTTTGTGTGTGCTTCGGCGCAGGACTGGCGCTGACTGCAGGTCAGGTCCCTGAAGCCATGCGAAAGACCCTGAGGAGAAGCGGCGGCTGTGAGGTTCCCATCACGTTTCCTGCGGTCCTCCTTTGCTCTGCAGGTGATTTGCAGAGAGTGAGAGAGAGAGACCCCCATTAAGAGTCATTCTGGGGCTACGAGGGGAACTGTAGCTTAGTATGCCCAACACGGGCTGGGCGGCGAAGCCCGGGGGGGGGGAAACCCTCCCTCCATAGCCTGAATGAAAGAAAGAAAGAAAGAAAGAGAGTTACATGCGACACCTTCGGGTGTCGCATAGCCCGTAGAAGAAGAAGAGGAGGAAGAAGAAGAGAGTTACATGATCTGGGCTGTAGTGTTCTTGTGCGTCTTCGTGTGCCAGGGTATGCTCAGTAACCGGGACCTGACTCAGTTTCGTGCTGTGACGGACATCCTGCTTGGGGCATTGCCCCAGCCCCTTCCTCGGGGGGGGTAGAGCAGTGAGAAGAAGAAGAGACAGAGAGAGAGGTCTGTAAAGTGGAAAGAGGGGGGTAGAGCAGTGAGAAGAAGAAGAAGAAGGTCTATAAAGTGTGGCGAGGTGCTTTTCTGAGTTTTCTGACAGGCGTGCTCACCGATTAGCACTTCGCTTCCCGACCGGCTTCAAGCGCAAGATGCTGATTGGGAAGCCTTCGGAATGCCAAACTATTCCAAGCTGCTGGGGAAGGCTTTCTGGCTGCAACTGCGAGACAGCTGGTCGAGTACTGGTAGGTCTTTAGATGTTTGTCTCCCCCACAAGGATCTTCTCGTTGGTCAGCATCACGTCCAAAACCATGGAGGCAAATACTCACCCAGCAGCCAGCAACTTGCTTTCTGTGAGACAGGTGCCGCACACTGTAGCCGTGACTTCCACGAATTCTGCCTCTTGAGCTGAGTTAACAATTTCGTGCGTCTTCTTGCGTCCCCACCAACCGCCACAAGGCAAGGAAGGCTATGATTATGTTTGTGACACGACGGAGCCCACCCTGCACTGGAGCAAGGACTGCTGTCATCCAAGCATTGTGCTGATTACAGCCAGCGTCTTTGAACCCATTCTACTGCCAGGATTGCGGCGTGATGTACTACCTTTCGCCAGCTGCTGGCACTGGCTGGCACGTCTATAAGTACATGCTTGGGCAGCCGCCAGGTGACTGAGGCTTGATCGCAAATATCACAAGAACTTCAAGCGCACACGCGTGACGTGCCTACGGTTTCAGACTGTCTGGCTAAGCCAAGGCAAGGTGGGGGAACACTGCCACGCTTGCGCCGATCCCCCTGGCAAGGCTCATCACTGAGACTTCGGGCCAGGTATACATTCAGTCACATGTCGCCGAAGTTGTGTCAGGTGTCTTGCACTGTCAAGCTCCATGGTGGCGATTGCAAGGATCCATCTGGTGTTTCTTGCTTCCAGGGTTTCCGTTTGCAGCAGTGGTCTATGCCTGTCGTTCACCGTAAAAGTACTCCAGCTATCAGCTTTGAGTGATCTTGCAGCACCCCATGGCAAGATGCATGGGTCAAATGTGACGGGGAGGGCTGGGATCGAAGGTTGAAGTTGTTCACTCACCAACTCTGGGTGATCCTGCAAAGTATGACGCCCCGGATGTGAGGAGATGGCTGCCACACCTGCAGAGTTTGGCACCAATGTCTCAGCGCCAGGGATGCTACTTGGTAAAACAATTTGCTCGACGCGGGACTGTACAGATTTCTAGCCTGCTACTCAGGACCAAGGTCTCCTTCATCTGAAGTAGTTCTGGAGCGTGGGCCGTTCTTTCATCTGGCTTTTCAGGGCTGGTGCCGGTTGCCAAAGCCTCTGAATGCGTCCTGAAGACGTGCGCACGCCTTCTTGGCCACTGTCATAGAGGCCCATTGGTGTTCTTGTGATCCTCCGACTGAGGAATCTAAATGGAGTTGGCAATGGGAGTACAGCTCTTGTCACTTTGGGGCGGTGTGTATGCCGGCAGCCACCTGCATGTCCGCACTCCGCATGCCAAACACAGGAGGCAAAAGATGTGCGTGAGCAATGCTCATTCTTGAACTGTTTTCTATCGGACGGAGAGATTGCAGAGCATGCTGCGGCTTCAGTGTTTTCAGGGCTGGTGGAGTTGTGTGTGCAGCATTGGAGCTTGCCCGCAGCTTAAGGATGTCCCGGGCTCGGAAAGGTTTGGGACACGGGGCCTGGCATGGCTTGCGACTCAAGTGCCTCGTCTTCTAGAGATTTCGCACATTCCTGTTGCTAGCGTTGTTGGCATGGCTTTGCAGTTTTTGCTTGCCAGACTCAGGCTCCGAGCAGGAGCCTTTGCCTCAGTCTCTTTGCCAAAGAAGCCGCCAGCTGGATTTTGTAGTGCAAGTGCTATTGATGAGTAGTTCTGACAGGGTTGATTCGCAGGTCTGATGCTAACTTGTCGTTAGCCGCCTTGCAAGCTGCTTAAGAAGATGGAGGTGCTCTGCCTCTGAGAAGGGCCCTTCCTTTGAACAAACATTTTTCAACAACTGAAATGGGCTGACATCCTCTGGCCTCTACTGTCTCTCAGTCCGGAAATTTCCGCCAGAAAACTTGGGTTGACATCAAGACCCCCGCGTGTTTGAGGTCAAAACGGCATTTAGCGGCATTCACCTTGAACAGGCATCGCTGAACAAGATTGCATGCAAAACCGCTGCGACATCATCCACAAACACATCAGCTTGCACAATTCGCGTTAAGCGACAAGTGGACAAGAGTGCAATGAAGCAAGAAGCTGGCTGGGATAGAGGCATGTCTTGAACAGCAGACCGCTATGCACGCTGCAAGGTCTAGCGAGCACTCCAAGCGTCGAAAAGCCAAGGCCCCTGCCGCTTGGGCACGGCGAAGCAATGTCTCTTTGTAGTGCCTCACATCCCAGCTGCTTTCTCATGACCAGGCCAGTGACAGCACTGAGGAGCCGAGCAACTGCAGATGCAACAGCAAAGCCTACGCTGATTATTAAGACAGCTTACCAGGCTCAGGTATCTGAGCTTGCTTGCAGGAGAGGTCGGCTTCCAGTGGCAAGGAGAAGAAGAAAAAGAAACAGAAGCAGAAGAAGACCGACAGCTTTGGCCCAAGTAGGGCGGGGGAGGTAGCACTAATGCCAATTGATGATGTGCATTCTGGTGCGTTAATCGACAGGCAGCGATGAGTGGGGCCCTGAGAGCCCTCCGCCAATTGCAGGGTAATGACCCAGAATCTTTTTCTTTGTAAGGATCAGAGTATAGCGGTGGAGGTCCTTGTATGCCAAATTCACCATGCCCCGCTTCAGAGCTGGAACTTCTTTTGCATTCGTATGAAGATTGAGCCTAGGAAGAGCCCAGTTCGAGAGTCCACAGAGGAAGAGGAGGAGGACTGCGGCTCATCATGTTAGACCTTGGAGCTGAGTGGGATCATCTAGCTGTTGCTGGAAATTAAGGTTTGAGACTCGTTGAACTTTGTTGGGGGCTGTTAAATCATTGAGCGCAGCCATGAAGTTTCAAAAAACACATGAACAGGAGGAGAAGGTTGCCAAGGCGAAGACGTGGATGCGTTTTGGTTAAGCTGGAGTGCTTTCTTGAAGCTTTCAGCAGGCTGGTAAGCAGAATGAAAGCACGGCCGAGAGCAACAGCGATGAGGACCTCCAGCTGGCGCAGCTGATCTGCTGTACAGGGCTCTAGATTCAGGGCTTCGCAGAGGATGGCCAGGATGAGGAAGTGAATGGAGACGACGTGGGCGGTGATGAGGAGAGCAAAAAAGCGGAGGCCGCAAGATCTGTGGCGGAGGGTATGCGCAATTGACCCAGCACAGGTGACACTTGTGTTTTTTGCTCTCAGGAAGCCGCAACCACGGCTGCCGAACAGGCTTCTGATTTTTCTGTCACGTACGGGCACGCTGTACTGAACCTTCGCAAGCTGCAGGGGTGTTTTTCAGTCTGCCTGCTACTGTACCCGCCTATCAATGCAATCAATTTAAGCATCTTTAATTACTATTATTATTGCTCGTATTACTGTTATTACTATTACTACAGTTACGGTTACTGTTACGATTGCGATTACGATTTCGATTATTGTTCCGAGTGTTGCTATCATTACTATTGATGCGCCTTGATCACTGAGCGCGGGCATGCCTGGGATCAGTATGCATTGGTAGTCACGTTTACGTGCCTGCCTGCTTTTGAAGGCCTTGGCCCCGGAGCTGTCAAAACACTACCAACCCAGCCAAAGGTTGGCACTAAACAGTAGTCTCCATTTTCTTTTCGCATGTTCATGTTCATATATATATGTATAACACGAATATTGCCCCAATATAACCCTCATATACGCTACTTAAAGGGGCTATATAACGATTATATATCCCCTATGAAAACCCGTAGAGCACCCCTATATTGTTGAGGCGGGAGTGGGGGGGCAAGTGACAGCGAGGCTCAAGGCGCCCGGTCGAGGCTAGAGGACGCCAAGGCAGACTGCAACTATTGCTACATGTTGTGTTGTATGTTGGAATGCAATGATTTTGTGCATCTTGCTACATATAGATATGATGCAGTATAACATCATCTAATATGATACATTTCATTATAGTCAGATACAATATCATAGTAATGATTATGTGTATGTATGTACATATGAATGTATAGGATCATATACGCCTGTTCCGACAGCGCGCGGATGTTGATTAGGGCGCATCAGGGTCTATGTACACTTGCGGCTAGGGAATTTCTTTGGCCAGCTATTGGGCTGGAGGGCGGGGGCCGGCCTCTAGTGTGTCAGCAGTGTGCGCTCAAAAGTTGGATGGCACTTATGTGAACGCGGAGCCCGTTTTGCTTGGCAGCGATCCACTCTCAAAGCCTTATTGACATCGATCTCCTTTGGATTTTGGTTGAGTCACTTTCACCAGATTTGTTGAAATAAGCTTTACGAAGATTCCGAAGCAAAGGCAGAGCAAAGGAGCAAATTTCCGGGACTCGGGTGCAGCCATGGGAACGACATGCTGCTGCACAGACCGGCAAACAACAACAGAGGAAGTCTTTCACGATCAGCAGCAGGTGCTTTGACTTGGGTGGAGGGGAGGCGCATTGCGCATTAGAAGTTGACTGTGGGCCCCAGGTGAACTTGCGATCAGTCTGGATGCAAAAAGCCCTTGGATGCAAATATTCATTATTATTGAGTGGTTGGTGGCTTTGGTGAGCCCTCCAGGCTGCTTGAATTTGGATGTCAGGCAAGGTTGAAAAGAAAAAGGCAAACCGCGAGCACGTCATGAGCTGTCTTAAAGCCACAAGGGCAGACATAGCAGCCTCCCGCTCATTTCTGTGACTGGAGTGGCCATGCCTCAGGAACTAGTAGATGGAGATGAGGAGGGCGAACAGCTTGTATTTCTTCGCAATGTCTATGCATCGCAGCCGTCAAGACTAAGGGGTGGCAAGTTCTCGAGTCCGAAACCCTCAGCACGGAGCCTCCTCGCGTTGTTGGGGAGTCGCAGGTGCAATCCTCGGCCTTTTCCAAATTTTTGTTTGCATCTATCTGCATGATGCGCTGTATCTGGAACGGTCAGTCCGACAGGGCTTGCAAATGTCAGGAACTGGCGGTAAGACCACCCAGCCTGTCACAGCAACCAAGCAGCAAGAAGTGCGGTTGGGTCAGGCATTGGTGAGGGTCCAGCTGTCAGGGCTTTGCCAGTTGTAGAAGCCGCTTTCCCAAGAACTGGTTTCTCCTCTAGTGCCCCCCCGACAGCAGACCTTGAAACCTCCATTCATTTCCATAATAGAATGCCATAGAAATAAACATTTGCTTTCCATCAAGTAAGGAAGGTTGAATGCCTTTACAGCCCTTTATAAACCCTCAACACCGGCCGTGTGCCTTGTCAGGCAGTTGAATGGCTACTGGGTGAGGAAGGAAGACAGCAAACCCCTCTGTGCCTTGCCTCATTTGGTGCCGGATGGTGCTGGATCTGACTTTGAGCGCTTTCTGGTTATGTAGGGAACCTTCACTGCCTCATTTCGAGAAACACCATGTGGGAGCTTCCAATCCCAAGTACCTCCTTACAATCCCAGGTGAACCCTCTCCAGTGTTGAAGCAGTTACCAGCTGAGGCGAGATCTCTGGGACTTCTCTACTTTGGCATCGCTCACTGTCATATGAACAGCGCGGGCCCTTCGAGTGGATCCTCACATGAAGAGTGTTAGATGCTGCATCTGGTAGACTGGGTTGCTGTTAAGAAACTTAATTTAAGTTACCTTAATGGGTATATATAGCAAATAATAGGGTTTCCCCAATATAGTAACTTAATTTAAGTTCCTTAACTGCAACCCAGTAGAGCTGCTGTGTGTCCTGGAGGTGTAGCATCCAGGCCACCAGTCCGGATACGGTGCAGGTAAGCATCAACAACCATCAGCGCCACAGATGCAAGCCACGCTGGTCTTCAATCCCCTTTTTGTTGTGGATGTACCCCGTCACAAATGCTCATACTTGTGACTGTATGCAAGGTTCGTTGGCAGGGTTTTCTTTTCACACGACGGACTTGCTGCCATGTGACTTTGCTGCAAACCTTGGTCAAGCGGTTTGCGCCTCTGCACGCCTGGCGCGGCTTAGGATTTGTTGGGCAGATGGTGAAGTTTGGCAGAAGACCCGCGAAACTCGATGGGACAACAGTGAAACCTAGCTACTCCACTGGCTCGTGTATAAAACACGTGCCAGAGGGCCAAAAATGTTTCACATTACAAACATCAAAGAAGCTCTGTAGGCAGCCAGCATTCGTTGCGCAGGTCAGCAAGGATTTAAGAAATATATGGTCTCGTGAAGCACTAGACAAATAGGCAAGAACTAGCATCGAGCAGGTTCGCAAAGCGAACTCAAAAGAGACTTAGCCAAGACAGGTCCTGCCCACCAGCATGCCTGCGATCCAGAATAAGCCAAAACTAACTTTGCTTTGGGTGGGCAGTTGCCAGAGGACGGCTAGACGGAAAAGAAGTCTTGAACACTCTCTGTTCAGTCAGCCCACCAAAAGTCAACTATATCCATAAACATCCATGAAGAAGGGTTCCAGGGCCACAGAGGCCGTGGGCAGGAATATGCTTGGCCAGGTGCATGCAGAGACCACGTTACGCCCTTGCGTGCAAGGCTGAGCTGATGAAGCTCAACAAGGAGACAGATGACATGAAAAAGGAGGCCACGCAATAGCCAGCACCGGGTAGCCTCTGGCAGTTGTGGAGCATCCACTCAGGCCTTGCAGGCGGCAGAGAAGGCCGTCGTGGGCAACAATCCTCGGTTGCTGCCAGCATAAACACGCGCAGTGCTGACAGCTGACATGTGCAGCACGCTTGCACGATAAGTCTTCGTGCTATCAGAAAGGGAGAGGAGAAGTTGACATGTTGCAGCAAGAGATCTTCACGACCTGATGCTTCGGAGAGGCGCAGCAAGCTGAGAAGACTCGCGATGCTGCCAAGAAGGAAGCCGAGGACGGGTCTTCCTCGCCTCTGCTAGCTTTTCTATTCTTCATCTTGAAAAGCGAGGCCGCGACTTCCAAGCTGAAATCGGCTGATGCGGTTTACAAAGTGGCAAGCCGATTTCTCAGTGGAGCCCGATGCCCACTGGGCCCCAAAGCTAGCCCTGCCACCTTGGGTTCAGGCGAGCACCTGAAAGCTTCTGCGAAGAAGCTGAAGGAAGTTCAAGCCAAAATTCCCGCAGCCACGGCCTGAAATTTGGAGCATGAGACCGCTTTTTCTGAGTTGGTTGTGCAGAGGCGCACGACAGCATTGATGCCCGAGCTGCCGAGTATCAGGCCTCCACACCACCTTGGTAGCAGATTGCAAGAGGGAGGCAGGCATACTTCACCATGGGCTGGGGAGAGGCGGCCTTCTTGAAAGGCATGCTTTGAACTATTCTTGCCGACGAGTTGATGCCATCGCCTTCACTTCGAGGCAGCTGAGAAAGCAGCGGCCGCTGCACAAGAAACCGCCGAAAGTGCCCAGAAGGCACTTCTGGTCAAAGATGCCAGGGTCGGGCCAACCTGGGAGCGGGCTGTTTTGCATATCAGGCAGCCCGACAGCGTGCCAAGGAAGCCGAGGCACCTGCAGAAGTGGTAGAGATGCTGGTGCTTGATCCTGCAGGAAGCTGCTTTTTTGGAGGCCCGGAAAGCCGCTGCTGAGAAGGCAAAGGCCAAAGCGAAGGAGGAGGCCGTTCGAGTAAAGGAAGAGGCTCGAGCCAAAGAGGAGGCCATCTCTGCTAGTCACTGGTCCTCTTTGTGAGCTTCCCAGCATGCGGATAACACGTGCTCAGCGTAGGCGAAAAAGAAGAAGCCACTGCTCAAGAAGAGGCCTTGCTGTTGACAAACAGCGAGATAGAGTTGCGACAGCAAGACACAGAACCTTCAGGAAACCAAAGAGCCCCTCCACAAGCCTGGCATCTCAGGAGACTACATCTTGAAATTTGGTGGAGGGGGGGGTCTGTTTTAGTGTTTTGGTTTCTCTTCACATGTTCTGTCATGATGTCAAGCAACATAAGCAAGGGACGATATCTGCTTCCCTACGGCGCCCAGGTCCTGCGCGATCACCAGCTCCCTCGCAGTCGGAGCGCCCTGCGCCTAGGAAGCCTGCCTGGATGCTATTCGCCTTTCTGGTAGTGTAGCACTCACTGCTGCAGGTTTGGGTTGCAGCATGCCAATCGTTAGTTTGGATATTTGTGGGAATTGGGCAGCTTAAGTGAAAGATGCCAAACACCAACGTAGTGAAGAACGAGGTCGAAAAGCCTTAAGTTCCCCAGGCAGTGAATCGGAGAAGGGCTCTCCGAAACCGGATTGCAGGGCCCTTGTGGTGAGCAGCTTCGCGCCGAATTTCCTGTTGAATGTATAGGGGAGTATAGGGGTTATATAGGGATTGTAGAAGAGGGATTATTACAGGGAGCCTATAGGATTTAATGTAGGGGCTATATAGGGAGCAAGCAGCTGCTTGTTGCTCCACTCCTTTTTGCTACGACCAACCTTCATGGAAGTATCACTGCCCACCAACCTCGGGTAGTCTGCTAAGCACTGTTGCTCTCAGGCTCCGAGTCTGAAAAAGAAGCTTCTCCTGACAAGCAAGAAGGATTGCGGCTGCCGACCTCCAGCTTCCATTATGCCTGTATAAGCGTATAACCTCTATATACCCCAACATGGTGACCATATTCATCATCCTTATACAACCCCTATATACCCCAAAAAGGTCACTATGCCCCTAACTTGAGGAAACCCTTCATGCTTGACCTCTCCTTCCCTCTTGTACTGCTCCAGGGAGTATTCATGCAGGCTCCGAATCTGAGAAGGAGTCTCCGGCTAGAGAAGGCTGGATTGGGGCGACGCAGTTTGCTGGGATGCGAGACAGTTTGTGGATACTGTTACACATGCAATGTACAGCACAGCTATGCATTTAGCATTCATACATGTATGCATGCATGCATACATACATCAGCAGAGAGTGAAGAGAATAGAGTATTCCTGGCACGCAGGACACCTTGCCGATAGCTCTTCATGCGCAGTAGCATATACGCTGCCCCACAGCGGAGAGCATAAACACGACTGCGTCAGCCTCGCCGTCGGCGAAGCCAAGCGAGTCCTGCTCACAGCCGTTAGCCGCCAGTTGTCATGAAGCACAATCGTTGGTCCTGCTTCGCGAGGTAGAACAAATTGAGTTTATTCGTACTTTCTTCGAGCATGTGCATGGGAGTCCCCATATCCCTGCTGTGTACATGATTCGTCATGGCTTGATTAGTTGCCGTAAGGACAAGGACAAGGCGGAAGCGGTCTCGCAAGAAGAAGAAGGACAGTCACTGCTTTACTTGATGCATGGGCGTGGCTCACATCCCATAGTCTGCCATCATGCAGCTTACAGTGGACAGGAGGAAGCCGAGGAATCGGATGATAGGCCAGGCATGTTAAACAACCGTTGAAATGCCTTTCCATGTTCAAAGCAAAGGCACGATAAAGCTGTATTTTCTGCAGGTCGAGTGCTTCCAAGGCGAAGCAGTCGCCAGAAGCCCCAGCCTTCTGCAGCCAGTAGAGTATTTAGGGCGTCACTTGAAAACGAAGAAGGCCAATTCATAAGAAGCCGGGCCGTATGTCGTTGTTGCATCAGGAAGGCGTCTGAAGAGAGAAGTCCTTCGCCGCGCGCCCGGCGTCTGGTTTTCGAGTGTTCAAAGTGGTTCGTCATCTCAGAAATGCAATGAGCTTCAGATCGCCCCCATGTGCGACTGATCGTAGCAAGGCAGGCGACACGTGTCGTAGGCCAAGCGACCAAACTCATTAACGTTCAACTACACGGTCTTGGCTCATTCGCATATATTATATACGTTGAACAACGAGTATGGAGGAATGTCCAACAGCGTGTGCTTCTGCAGGTCATTCGTTCGCTGCATCGTTCTCTTGCGTTTGTCAGTTTCGTTTCTGTTTTGCACACGGCTTGCTCTCGTTGTGCACAGGAGGGTGCTTTCTTGTGTGGACATTGCTACCAAGTACTACCAAGTACTTGTTTTCACGTTTTCTGGTTATTCACTGCACCTTGCGATGATGTCAGCACCTGTTTTTGAATGTATATTCTTGCTAGGAGCCAGCGAAAGCTGGCATAGCTAGGTTTGAGTGTATGAGTTGTTTTTTAATTTGGCAGTAGTAGGGGCAAACAAGGTCTGGAAAGCAGCAAGTTTTCTTCATCTCACGGGTTTGTTGACTTACTTGCGCGTGCAAACTCACCACAGTTGCAATTGTATGTGCGGCCTGCATCAAACATCCTTACAGTTCTCCCTCTGTAGTGTTCACTACCCTTTGATAGTTATGCTAGCAAGGCTTGGCGGTTGTTGCGTCATACCTCCCTACTGCTGTTCCGACCCTTGCATGGTCATGGCAAAACATATTTGCATCAAGCCTCCCTACACTTTCTGTTATGCTCATTGCCCTTGCCAGGCCATGAAACGAATAGCATCATGCCCGGGCTTGCATCAGACCTCCCTACTCTATCGGTTTGTGTGGATGGTACAGGGAGCGTTAAGCTGCGATGCAGCATCAAACCTCTCTACCCGTGGCTTTTGTATGCAAGTGCTGAAGACTGGTCTAGCTTTCAGTGGCCTCGGCTCGCCCTCAAGCGACATCTATACCAACGATAAGACGTATTGCCATGAATGTGGGTGTTCAGAATCAGGGCCCGTTTTAAGCTTTCCAAATCAAAGGTTTCAGCAAACAGGAGAAACCAGACTTGGAGCAACTTGAACAAACAATAAGGCAGCCCCGGCGAAAGGCTTCAAGGCAAGTTCTTGGAAGCCACTTCACATTGCTGCAGCTGTATCTGACTAATACCTTCCCCTGACGATCTGACAGCCTTGTACGGGGGCTAAGTGATGCAGGGCCTAGAGGAGTTTCAAGCACGCGTTGTGTTAGCTAAGCTGTGCAATCTTCAGCTTTTCGTGGCGGGGGACGGCGGAAGAGAGTCATTTGTCCAGGGTATATAGGTTGTATCGCTCTCGTGACACTGAAGAAGGGGCATGTGCTAATGAAAGCTGCTACAATTGCATAGCTTACATGTTGCTGTCAGGTTTATATTGGAGCAGGGAAGGAAACCCACCATGTGATGTGGTGATATGGTGATACGAAAAGTAGCTCGCTTTTCCTTGTGGCTGGCCTTTTCAGGGGCTCAAACCAGCTCCTAGAGGTCCGTTTTCGTTTTCGATCCTATGCGGTCCTCTTTTTGACAGCTATCAAAAGACATCCGGGCAGCTTGGGCATTGAAGACCGAAGACTTCTAGACAAATGATATAATAGCAATAGGTAGCTTATGCTAGTGTCTGGGCCAGGTGGATTTAGGACCTTTGCATGGCCTTCACGTGACCTTCGGGAGTGGTGAAGATGCCTCCGAAGCTCCCTACAATTCCGTCCAATGCTGCGCTCCAAGACCTCATTGATGTCTCAGATCAGAGCTTGCTCCCCACGGAGTTATCACCTGTCCATGACTCAGAGCCCTCGGAAGAAGTCAACGCCTCAAACCTTGCTGGCTGGTCCAGGCAGCAGAGCCCATGCTCGGTGCTATCCGTTGCATCTTCTGGCAGGCTCTTCGCGGAACCTCAGCAAACGCTGCTGTTCCTGGACTGGGATGACACAGTGTTTCCTTGCACAGAGCTCTTCCACAAGCGTGGCCTACCAAAGCGTAGCAAAGATTGGACGCCCCTTGATCCTGAGCTCCTGGCTGCACTAGAGCCCTGGCAGCGGGCTGTGAAAGAATTCATTGGCCGTGCCTGCGCCATCAGCGATCGCTGTGTCATCGTCACCAACTCTCGGAAACCCTGGGTCGCTGGCTCAGTCCTATAGTCTCTAGAGGGTTTTTTTGCCACCTTGAGCCTTGAGCCCTTGGAAGGTTCATGCTGTAGCCACTGTAGCCCATTTCCAGCAGCTTGCAAGGTCACTTCATGCCTGGGACAGTTTGCGCCCGAGCTGAAGAGTGCCTTTGAACGAAGCGACGGGCCAAAAATTGTTTATGCTCCTGAGATTCTTAAGCAAGAAAAGAACAAGCGAGAGCCGGAAGGTGGATTGTGGGACTGTGTCAAGCCGTGCTTAAACGGTTGTTGCGGTGGCCTAGTGCAGTGGATGGAGAAAGAGATGGCGCAGATGCGCGCGCAAGGCCCGCAACCGTTCTTTGACTGCACGCAGGCCAAACTTTCGGCAATGAAGAGGGAGGCAGCGCAGTTCTACTCCCAATATCCGGGGCAGACCTGGAAGAACATCATCAGCCTTGGGGACATGTGCTACGAGCACGAGGCGGTGAAAACGTTGTCGGCAACTCGCGTGCCCCAGGAATCCCGAGAGCGCCTTCGGACAAAGTCCTTCGTCCTGTTCCAAGAGCCATCTTTACCTGCCCTCACACTGCAGCGCGGACAGCTCAAGAAATTTGTGGGGTGTTGCATCTAAGAATCTAAGAAGTAGATGCCTAACAGCATGACCTGCCAAGAGCAATTGAGGCAGCTACGGATTTGGTCCTTGCTGCTGCCCCTCTGTGCACGATTTGATGGCGATGTGGACCTGGACCTTGCCAGGTCCCCAGTTCCCTTTGAGGACCTGGCAGCCGCTTTCAATTTCCCGCAGCTCTCTCGCCTTCAGCTGCCTCACTTCATCCGAAGGGACGGAAACAACTTCGAGGTGGACTTTCTCGACCCCCATTGTCAGTTTGAAGAACTCAATGCAGACGAACAACGGGCTGCTGAGGAGTTCCTGGACGAGCTGACCATAATTCTGCAAGATGCCGTTGTGATTCCGAAATTCATGAAGGCTGAGTAGAACTTTTACCTCTTGATCGCGGCTCGGTCTGAGACCGCAGAGAACGCTCGGGGCAACTGAGCAGGGCACTTACCCTGAAGAAAAAGAGTGTAACAGCTGCGTTCACATGGAAGTCACCTACGTAATGCCACAAACTATAGAAGTTGACTCATCATCCTTGACATGCTACACATCCTCCGGATAGCCGTTGCCATCCCGAAATCTGGTTCTGCCAGATATGGCTGGGCTTGTCAAGGGATTTGTGATGAGTTGCATTAAGAGCGAGGCCACGGAGCAGTAGCCGCCTGCCTAGCTTCCCGGTAATCCAGCATGGCCGCTGCAAGTTCATTTCCACGGAAAGTTCAGATCCGGAGTTGCCATGGCATCTTCCCTGGCACTGCTCCTGCAGCACTGCTGCCCTTGCTCCCCTGGGTCTGATGACGTTCAGATGTGCTTTGCTGCTTTGTCTGGCAACGTGAGTTTCGTAACTTTTTTTAGGCGCTTCTTTGAGGGCCTCCTAGTATTCCGTATTCCATCGAGCTAGATACTCCTTCGGACGTAAGGCGTATCTTTCTGAGAGTCCTTGAGACATCTTACAGCTGAGGATCTCGAGCTCCGACCTCGAAGCGGATCCGCAGTTCCTTGCCATGGGAGCTTGCTCTGTGCTCGGTGATCTGGCTTAATCAAAGCTTTGGGGTATCCATTCCTGATGTAAAGTTCCCAGGATGAGACGAACTCATGAGCATTCAGCAGAACCCCTGGATCGAGCTCTCTTTTGATAGAAGGGCTCACGCGCGTAGACACTGGGGCTTTCCACGTGGAAACTAAGGTGCCCCTGCTTGCAGATTCAGAGGCCATGCACGGCTGTGGATGAAGAGCGTGAAGATGCTTGGGTGCAGACATGAGCTCATGCATCAGCTTGTGTAGCACATCGAAAAGGATCACGTTGCGGCCAAGGTGGTCCTTGCGCTTTTGCAATGGATTTATTGTGAGAGGATTGACTTGAAAAGCTCGGAGGCGTGAAGTGGAACGGGCAGATGTGTCTAATGGATCACGCACTTTTGCTGGACGCGTTTGAGGCAAACAGCTCGGTGGGCTATCCCTCAAGCTGCCTTGAAATTTTTCCAGTAATTCCAGCTCGCTCGTCTGGCGGTTTGCCTGCAGACCTGCCCCAACACTAGATTGAATAGCACATGGTGGCATTGTATACCAACTGTTACTGGCAGCCGAGAAGAGTGATGGAGGGAAAGCAGCGCAAGCAAGACACATCAAATAAAGACAAGTTGTGTCTGGGAGGCTGCCTTGCAAGATCGGGTGCTTCATCTCTCTGAACAGTGGGGTCTCCGGGATGCCCCTGCCTTGCGGGCGCCTCAGAATAGTTCCTGCAGAGATATTCCTGTTAGCAAGTCAGCTGAATGAGGAATAATTGTTTGAGGCTTTGTTGTATTGGCCTTCCTTGCCTGGAGCTTTTGAATCCAAAACTCGTTTTGAGTTTTGAAGATCGCAGTGGTTCGGGGGCTTTGGGAAAGCATGATCAAAGCAACTTGAGCAGCACCGGAACCCCTGCATGTTATGGCTCTGTTAAGTTTGGCTCCTCAAGCAGGGGGGGACCGTCGCAGAGCGAAGCTTTGGCTACAGCACTCCTGAAGAAAGGGTTGGTCTGCCTAGAACTGGGCGCACAGGCTGGGCTGCATAGGAATCATCCCCGCGACTTGAAAACTTGTCGCTTTTTCTGCAGTTCGCTCTGGCAGCTGTCTTGGGCGGGGGGGGAAACACGCAGGCGACCGCGTATGGAAACGGCCAGCACAGAAGTATGGGCGCTTGACATTTCGCTCACGAAGTAGCTACGTCCGGGTACTTGCAAGTACTCCTTGCCCTACTTATGCACATGCTCCCTGTAGGGCCCATCAATGCTTCAAATGGGGCCAGCTTTGATGGCAACTTTTCGGGGAGCCCCCTCACTCATGCAAAAGCGAACTAGACGCAGGTAACGAAAGTTCCTCACTCGTGTTTAAAAGTCATACTTGCATTTCTGCCTGTGCACACCGCAGCAGCGTTGCTGCTTCGATGGATCTTTTGATGCCAGTATGATTTGGATTACCAGTATCATCAAAATGCGGTTCTGTTCTCAGTACTGAAGTCTAGATGCGCAGGCGAGAGCGGTTGCACGGCCATTGGCGTCGGCGGCAGCGTGGATGCCAGGCTCAGGACACCCATGCGGTCCATGCTGAGTTCGACCAGTACAACCGTTACTCCTCCGTTGCCGGATAGCAAAGTCAGGATGAGCAGTCATGAGAGGATTGTAATCTGAAGGTTGCGAAGGCCCATCGCAACCCCAAACCTCACAAAGCCATTTTTGGGAAGCCACGCGACGCGACCCCCAACCACGCATCTTGCCCGACGCGCACCACATGATTTCTGAAAGGCCTCGGACCCACCCCCAACCCCGAACTGCAGATCTTGCCAGATGTGTGCCAGACGATTTGTCCAACTTGTAGCTTTGGAAAGCACTGTTGGGAAGGCATTCCCCCCCTCCCAAAAAACCAGGGAGGCTCTATCGGTTCGCGTACTATTCTTCTGTTCGGGCGGTTCGGGCCTTGTTTCGGCTCACTCGGTTCGATGCGGCTGTTCATGTTTCATTGGGTTCCGGTGCGGCCTGTAGGCTTTCATAAAATTCCTGGGGTTAGTAGTCAGGGAAAAAGGAAGTCTTAATCGCTATATACTCCCTATACTATATACATTACCCACATATACACCCTATTGCAGTGTAGTAGTTTCCATTTCATTTCTGTTATCCCTATAGTTTCCCTGTATAATACAGGCCATAGAGGCTGCAGCACTGCAGCTATGGCCTGTCTGCAGGATGTGGCGCGAGCGTTTGCGCAAGGCTCACTGGATGATCTTTGGTGCTTCAGCTGCAAATTCGTAGTGGGGGGGTGGTAGGGAATGAGGGAATGCATTATAGGGATCATATATAGGGATCAGATTTCCTTATTCCCTGCTAAGCACTAGTAAGAAACTGAGCCTGACAAACGCAGCTTTCTCCTTCGAGCTGCGGTTGCTGTTGACTGACATTGACTTGAAACAGTCCAAGTATATTCAAGCGACCTGAGCCCAAAACAAGCTGGATCACAGTCATGCCATAGTCTTGCTTCGTTTGCAAAACTGACCAAACCTGTGTCACTTGTGGGCGCCATATTCCGGAAAGCGATTCGACACGAAAACCTCAAGGTCGGCTGGTTGGGTGTCCGTTTCATTGGCAGTCAGGGGCATTTATGACGATTGAAGCAGGCATGTAAGACAGCAAAAGACAGCAAAATCCTAAGAGGCTCACAAAGAGGAAAGTTCCATCGCAGATTCGGAGATGGCTTGAAAGGAAATCAAAAGGACCCAGCGGTTTGGTTTGACTTAGGTTCCTCTGTCGCGAGCCTGGGGCCCATAAAGGCGACGAGGTGAAGATCTACGGCGGCTTTCTGCCATTGCTTGTCACAGCCATTGCCCCAGCTCCGCCCGGCTCCAGCAGCAGTTTGGTGCACTTGCGCTTCGCTTGCTGGCGTAGACTTGTGGACCTAATTGCCGGCAAGGATGAAGACGAAGCAATCGGCAAGGTTCCGAGATTTTGGATGTCGGCAGCTGAGGCTTCCAGCTACTTTGCGGCCATGCTGTCCGGCAAATGGTCTGAGACGGCGCAGCAGCCCGTGAAGGTTCGGCATGGCTGATGCAGGGCTGTCTCAAAACTCGATACTCTAGAAGGGGACCTGGTGATGGAAAGAGTCAGATAATGAACGAAGGTTGTTTGCTTGGAAGGTGGGCTGGAGTGCATGCGACTTTCAGAGACTGCTGAACTTCTTGCATGGTGGCCCTGACTTCATCCGGGACATCCACGATCTGGACAAGGCAAGCAAACGCCGACCCGTCCGGAAATCGTTTGGGAGTTGAGACTGCAAACAGGATTTGAGAACTGAGATCTGAGGAGGGAGCGGGGGAGGCTGCCGCACAAAGGCAGTGTTAACATTGGAGTACACCTCGATGGCTGAGATTGGTTTCTTCGTTCTGTGACAGGTGATGAACACCAGAAGGAAAGCAACGCAAGCTGAATGCAAGCAACAAGCAGATGATGAGAACCGAGGGGACATTATAAAAAACGTCCGAACGTGGAACATGGAAATCCGAGCCTGCTGAAGAAACAGTAGCTACTGTGGGGCCACGTTTCTTTTCTTGCGCAGGCTGTAAGCTGCGCGGACTTCTTTGGCATTCCCATGCTGCTTGTGCATGCCAACCAGTGGATAGCAGACCATCTCGACCCCAACAACGCACCCACTTTGTGGAACTATGTGGATGCCTGTCTGCATTGCATAGGGCAAAGATTAGGCGCGCCAAGCGTGCATTCATATTCATAGCATTCTCATGGCAGCTTAGTAAGGGTTCAGGCCAAATCTGGATGATTCTGCTTGTTCTGGATTCTGGTCAGCATCAAGCAGACCAAAGCCACGGAACTTGGCAGCTTCACACCCAAGCTTCAGCTGCCCGAATGTACTGTCACTCTCACCCAAGGTTTTCTGGTTTAGGCACCTTTGCGGTCTCGCCTCCACCTGGACTCACTAGCTTGCTTCTAGTGTCGCCCGCTCGGGCACGCGAGTTTGTCCGCCTTCCTGGTTAGCTCGCCCTGCTCGCTTGTCAGCGCTTTCCGGCTGCCGCCTATCCAGCCAGCCTTACTATCAATTGGCCCACGCTTTTGGAGAGCTGTTAGCTTTTGATGCTTATGCTTCACGTCCAGCCTTGTCAGATGAGGAGTCGGAGCCCCGTCTTCGTCTGAATCAGATCCAGGCCAGCATAAGAGGTGTAAAGCTTGAGCACGTCGACCGTATTCGAGAAGAACTGCTGATCACTACTTTCTTATGGCAAAGGGTTTGGGAATTGGTCCTCAGTGTTATGAGACAAGTTATGGGCAGTGCAGGTATCTAACCCTGAGAGGATGGAGTTATCCGCGAAGACTTCTTCGTGGCTGCAGATGATGCCTGCGGCGCCCCGAGAGATTTCTCTGGGTCAGTCTCAAGCACACTGCTAATAACTAAGGCAGCACAGCTTTAAGAACACCTCGGGCATGATAGCAGCGCAAAGAGCATGGAGAGCACCATGAGCAGCAACCTTGAAAGCAGAATCGTTGATGTTGTACGACGTCGCAGGTATCCGACGGTACCACATTGCGATGCAAGCAAAGCATGCGAAACATAAGACTGAGACCGTTGAAAAGGATGCCCGAGACAATGGCATCCTGCATCGTCGGCGCCATGAAGGATTCCTCGCTCCAGTGATTGGCTGCAGCAACTACAAGTGCCACCAAGGCAACAATCGTAACGTTGCACATCCCAGACAAGCAGTGGTGCGATGCGGTGCACACGATGTTTTTCAGCACTTCTGCAATCTGGCTAGAACAAGTCCATGCAACATAAGAATCGGAAGCGGAAGAAAAAACAAGCTTGAGGCAAGGGCAAGCAAAGCACCACGCCTACAAAGGACACAAACGCTACGGTATTGAAGAGTAGCGATGAGAAGAAGTGGGGGACAGAAGACTCTAGGGTTTTGCCTTCTGTTAGGGCCGCCTTGTCTTTGTTTGCTCGTTTGTGACAATTGAGTGACGAAAATGTATTGGCAGCATGCCATAGGTGTCGCAGGGCACTCAGTGGCAGAAGGTCTGTATGAAGTTGTTGATGAGGCTTCGACTTCCACATCCGGGAATTCGTGGCCATGGCAGCTCCAGAGACAGATGCAGAGGAGCAGAATGCCGCTTGGAGCTCAGCAGCGTGGCAGACTGGTTTTATGTTGAAGGGGGACTGGGTCCCTAATTAACCCTGCATGGAAACTTGTTTGGAGGGGAGGCTGCGCCCCAAGACCATGCTTAAGTTGGCTGCCACGCTCTATTCTGTCCCCTTGAATATCGAAACGCAACATTAGTGCAGAGAGTGGGGGCTTGCCCTTGGTGTGTGGGATGTCGTGTTTGTTTCAGAATTCCCTTTGTCAAGTGGATGGTTTGAGGAAGGTTCTGCCAGTGAGCTTACTTAGGAGGACCGCTGGGTCCCCTTGCATGATTTGTCCCCGGCGCTCATGCGGCTCGGCTTCACAGCACGTATGGATGCATGTCTGGCTTGGCAGTAGAACAGCGCATCTTAGATCCTCGCATTCAGGGAGCGACTGTTGCGAAGCGGCTCGCTGGATGCTGCTGGACTGCACTTTCGCAAATACCGGCTTTTTCCAGGATTCGCTCCCCTTACCTGCTTTCGTGTGAAAAGAGGCGCTGCCCAGATGAGGTCAGCACTGAAAGGCTGAAAGCCATGGTGTTGCAATATGCGCGTGCAAAGTGGGACAAGCCCTTGGCAAAGGCCGGGCATTTTGCGAGAGTTCAAGCGGGCGGCAGCAACCTGTCAGCCTTCTCTCACAACCCTAGAGATACAGCCGCAAAGGAGGCAGTTTTTGGTGTAAGGGCGCGCAGAGAAACAAAGGAATGCTCCTGTCAGCGCAAAGAGGCCCACGCAAAGCAAATGATGCCCCCGGCCGTGCTCTTCAACAGGCCCAAAATGCTGTTGCAAAGAAGCCATGTGCTTTGAATGTGCAACACGCTCTTGTTGGCAGGGACATCCGCGATCAGCTCCTGGGACGTGCAACCGTCTCCATCCGCGGCGTGTTGTTGCTTGGCATGCTGGTTGCTGAACAAAATGCACAGGCGTGATTTCTTGGGGACTCAGGTGACCAGACAGATGTTGTTGGCGCCGGCAGCTGAAAGGGTGAATGGAGCCTTCGATGTGCTCGAGGTTTTTTCCTTTGCATGCATCCGTCCTGGCACGAGTACGAGCGGAGGACGACATGTACAGTACGATGACCCGAGTGGGCCCCACTTGAGATCTGTACAGCTTGGTGGCCAAGCCTAGCAACCCTGCATACTACTAGGTGAGCACGTGAGCACCACTGAAACGGGCATGGGACATGAGTCTTGCGACTCATTGGATTGGCAGTCAAGATGACAGAAGTAATCCCCACGGTAGTGGCAATCGTGTTTTGTTACCACAGGTGCGAGGGGACCTGTGGTGTATCCAATGCTTGCTCAAGGGGGGGCTGCCCAAATCCTTCCTGCATATTCTCGGGGACACATTCTGGAGTCAAGGAAACTTGCAACCCTACTTAAGTAACTTTACTTCCATCCCATAGCAGATAGCTACAACGTCCATTGCTGCTGAATGCTGGCATCACTGGAGGTATCGTGATGTTGTATCTTGGGAGACAACTGCCAGGAAAAGCTCCACCAGGAAGCGCTCAGCCTCGAGGCCGCCTCGCCCTTACAATCCGCACCTGCGAACTATGACAGTCTCCAGAAATAGGGGAGACCCCAAGAATATAGACCCCAGAAGACTATAATCCCTATTACGTATAGGGACCCCCAACAACGTACCTCTAGCTTTGGGAAACCCACCTATCGCTGTCAACATGGAGGAAGCACTTTGCGATGTCATGATGCCCATGCCCTCGAATTGCCATGATTTGGGATTGTGACGGTTCCGTGCTTCTCTTGGCAGGAGGCGGTCGTCATCCGACAGGACGGGATTATCAGGTAATGACACGCAAAAGCAGCATCAGCCTTGTGACTTATGACCCTCAAGCGACCCTGAGACATGCTATCCAGGACCCGAAACACCCAAAGACTCTGATGTGAGAGACCTTGCAGCACGCCCTCAAGCCGCATACCTGACCCTGCCTTCAAAGTCTTATGATGTTTTGTTCAAAGCCGACCCCTGGGCTGCTGCTATGATTTATCCATATGTATCCTATTTAGGATTTAGGGTTCAGGGCTCCATGACTTATCCTATGAATGGTACTTTTATGTCAATTGGCTTCAGCTTTAGAATCTACTGCTATGCTAAACCAGGTGGCACTTTGGGATAAGTATATCATCATTTCCCTGTATGGGCTTAAGGGGCCGTACTTATGAAAAAACCATTGGGGACCTTTAAAGCTTTAAAGCATGCTCAGTAAAGGAAGGTTTCTGTTGGGGCCTCATGGGCTCAAGGCCTGGCAGTGTAGAGGGGGGCCGACTGTTTCTGTGCAAAGTGGCCGAGATGAGCAAAGGCCGCCAGGCTGCAGTACTTTATGTAGTCTTATGGGAAAATACTTAACATTGGGATGTGTCGGGGGGAGGGGGTGGATGTTTGAGATTAGTATCATTATAATGCTTAGTCTTGGGGTGTGTGTTGGGGGGGTAAGTATGGGCGGGGGTGGATACTGATATGAAAAATCAGTATGAGGGCATTAGTTTGAATAGGGTTTTGCGGAGTATGTCCTGGTTCTCAAGAGTAGGATCCCTACATTCTTGCTCATAAAGACTCCTGCGATCCCTTTGTCATGTCCATGCACGCCTGGAATTTTGCAAGGGTACCCCGAATTTCTTGAAACCCTCATACATCTTTTGATCGTAGGATTGATTAGCACGCATTGGCGTGGACAGTATACAGTGGTATATGTTTAAGTGATCCTGGAATCATGCTGAACAACTCGACCAGACGCGAAAGGGCAAGAATGGTGGCATGCCATGTGTCGTCCAGGCAAGTGAAGCATCACAGCAATGAAATTTTGAAAGCAGCATTGAAGTTTTGCCAAGGATATGGCAAAGGGAACATGATGGATTACAGCAATTATGGCGGCTACGGCAATGGCTATGGCAACAGCTATGGCAACGCCTACGGCAACGGCGGCGGTTACGGCAAGGGTGCCTACGCGCAAGATTATGGCCGCAGCCTTATCCGAACGGTAAAGTATTTTGTGTGCTTGAAGCTTGTTTCCATTGCAATGCCTGCCATTGCCATCAGCAGCATTGCTGACGTCGACTATGACTGTTGGCAAAGTTTTGCTATAAAGGTTTGCTGTTTGCATTGGCAGTGTCTATTGTTGCTAGAGCAAGCTGTTATTTCTGGCGCTATTCGCATGCTGACTTTTCCTACCCATGCTTTCCAGTGCAGACGTACTGGGTATGCTGCTCAAGCCGCGAAGTGACCTCATGCCGGGGGGGGGGGCAGCATGGAGTCCCGGAAGTCAATATGTTCATTAAAGCAACTGTCGCGTGCTCATTGCGAAGCGCCGTGAGATTGTAACAACACAAGGTCATTGGCCTATGCACATTTTCCTGCATCATGCAGGCAGCTAGGGAGGAGTACACATGAGCACCGAGTCACGTTCCTCGAGAAGCCATGGCGAAACGATCTTCGTGTCCATTGCGAGCTACAGGGACACGCAGACCCTCGGCTCCAACAAAGCATGTTCTCAAAGCTCCGTGGGTTCACCTATAATGCTGACCCGAGCAAAGTGTCTGACAGCAGGTGCCAGTACACAATCCAAGAAGCGTGGCAGCATTATCAGAAGGGATGCTCACACCCAGCGAAGGTGCTTTGAGTCAAAAGGCCTTCAAATCTTCAGGGAGCTTTGCCCTGAGTTGCATATGCAGGATGTGACGGCGCTTCAGAACCTTGCGTGGGGAGGGGGGGGGGTTCTCGTAGCAAGAGGGATCAGGCAGCCATCACTTTGGTCAGACGTCAGGAGCGTTGGCTGTAATGTTTTCTGTCCCATATTCACGGGAGCTGTTTTTGCAGGGCTGGCAACGAAATCACTTGAAGCCAGCTGATCTCAGCTGACTGTTGGATACGAGTGCTGAAGCTCATTTTCAGGACCTCTTCCAGAAAGCGAAGAGGCCTGAACGAATATTCGTCGGCGTCTGCTTCCAGGCAGGATGCCTATCTTGAGTCCTAAGCCCTAAATGACTCTCCACAGGAAACTGCTCTGCCAGGTAGCGCCCTCCGATGACGATAGCTTCCTACTCGATCTGGGTGCCGTTGCAGGAAACCAGTAGACAACAGACACATGAGAAGAGCAACTCAAGGGTAAGAGTAGCCAGGGTTGGCGATGAGAATGTTCATCAGACAATACCTGCCACAAATAGAAGGAGTCGTCAGCTCTGCAAGTTCGCGAAACTGCGACAAAGCGTGTCCATGCAGAGTTCTACAGACAGCGCTCAACAGTGATCTCAGGTGCATGGTCCTCCCGTATTCGGACTTACTTCCTGCATCACACGGAAGCTCGAGGGCCCTGCTATGCGCGGACGCTAATACAGCAGGAGCTTTTCCGAAACGAGGACTTCTACTTTCAGATTGACAGCCACATGCGCCCCTAAGCAGCATCTAGACCGGCTACTTTCATGCTTTCGCAGGAGTTAACTGAGACGTCATGCAGGATCTTCTCGGTCGGTTTCGTAGAGCCAGAGCCGAGGCTTTGTGCAGGACTGGGATGTGGCTTGCCTGGAGCAACTGGCAAACTGCGATTCCAAAAAACCCATCCTCACGACTTATGGCGGCAGTTGCCTGGCTGACGCGGAAGTACGGTCTTTCTCGAGGTCACGTCCCGCGCAAGTGTGCGTCTCACACGTGTATGTTGACATATGCGCACAATGCTACGCTGGCACGCAAGAAGGCACGCAGCTGCAGCATATTCTGGCATCGTGCACCAAAAAAAGCCATGCTCTTACGCACAGCAGTGCTTCTGCTGGTGGTGCATCCTGCCTTAGACCTGTCCACATCCTAAAAACAAACGCGTTGGGGGGGTCTTTGCTATCTGTTTGTCTCCGAGCCGTGGCGTAGGTGAATGGTACCGCAAGCCGTAGCATCCTGACGTCTCAAGTTTTGGTTACAAGGGGTTCTGTACTTCGCAGAGTCAATCTTCCCGCTTTCTTCGCATTCTCTGAAAGCCGACCCCTCACACCTCGGAAAGTTCAACAGTAGAGGGTCCTTTGGCTTTTCGAGAAGTCCTGACCCCTTCAGGCTACACACTGCCGAAGGACTATATGCCTGGGGCACCTGACTGCGCGGAGATAGCAGCCAGCAGAGCTGTGCCCATTCTTTGTGCGGACACTTTTGGCGATGCCAACAAAGATGATGCTGGCCTAATTCAGCTTTCTGTATGAAAGTGTCTGGGGCCCTGAAGCCCAGTATACCATAACTCTTGTTATGGGGAGTCCCGAAAAGGGGCCCCATTGTCGGAAACCACCATATCAGTTTGCCAAGACTTGCGTAAAGCAGATGAATACAAGGCTTGGACCTGGAACTTGAAATGGGCAGAAAACGTTGTCAAGCGATGGGAACCCCTGTAAAGCGACCCCCCGCCCCCAAAATCCTGTAAGGCGATGGGGAAACCTGAGAAGTCATACCCCAACGTTATATGCAGTAGGCAGCATCAAGCTTAGACAGATGCTCATGCATTTATGTTGCACTCTGCCCTGGCGCCGCCGTGCAGTGTAACCCTGAACCCTAATCCCAAAACCCAAATAACCAGTGTCAGCTGAGGACCCGTTCCTGCGGATCAAGACACGGCAAAGCCGCACGGACTTTCGTGACATCCCTCCGCCGGCACTGTTCTGGACGGCCCTGCCCTGAGCCGCCCGAGCTGTTTGTTTTGTACACAGGCCTTGGCTTGGCCGCTTGAACAACTACAAACCGGTAGTCCGCAAGACAGAATTACCAGTGTTGTAAGAGCCAGTGTTGCAAGAGGTTCTAATCAGCTCGGAAAGCAACGCTTTGCCAGTAGGCTACCGGTCAGGGCTTGAAGCCTTTGGCAGAGTCAGGTTTCCTAATCTGACATTTTGGGACCCTTCTGTCGTGGGAGATGCTCTGAGTTGTGCTCATTTGCAAGGGAAGACCACCATAAACCCTTCACCAAAAACTGCCGTTACAGTTGTTAAAGTGTATGCTCGTCAAGCTCCCACTGCTTCATAAGCACGACGTGATCAGATGGGTTCACTTGAAGAGTTGGATTCCACAGTTGGATCATGCGGATTTCCTTGATTCTCCTTGCAGTTCGATGACATGGGCTGAATTCAATTATTTTTGGAGGGGTCATGACAAACTTTTTGAGACCCTCTGGCTGGCACCCGCAAGTTTGGACTCCGCTTCTCCAAAGTCCGAAGCCCAAGGCTCGATTTGCGTTCTCTCGCGGAGACGTCGTCCGTGACACACCTTATGATCCCAACCTCGAATATCTGCTCCTGTGCCGCTTTACTAGGATTTGCGGTTTATTCCGCACCAGTACTAAGACGAGTCCTGGTGCAAAAAGGGCTTCTGCCGCAAAGGAATCTCCCCAGATATGTAAGAGACATATAATCTGGATAGATGTATTAGACATCAGACAACTCCAACGCTACAACAAGTCTCCGGCACTAATGACTGAAACAAACGCAAGGAACGCTTCCGGGCTAGCTTCCACAACTAGGTCACGGGTCTGCTAGTATTGACACAATTGAAAAACAGGTGCTTTGCCATTGTTGAACATAAGGCTTCAGCGTGGCCAGCCGCGTGGTTTCAGCCGAGGTTCTTCGGCGAGGAAATTGCCATGTCTGCACGACTTTGGACAGGAGGTTGGGATTTCTTTCATCCGGCAAGCGAGAACCTCGGAGGCATGAAAGCAAGTCTGCACCCCAAAGGGAAAGAGCTCCGGGTACAGACCTTAGACCTTGCATCTACGTGACCATGATAGACGACCCCTACGGCCCAGAGCCTTTGTCGTGTTAGATTCACATATCAGTTTGCAAAGGATTGCCTACCACTTGGGTAGTCGGGCGCACCGCTACTGGTTCCGAGAAGTGCAGACCACGGCAGAACAGATCCAGCAAGAAACTCGTGCAAAATACCGTTGCCTGTCAGCATCATGGACAGGCATCCGGGTTTGGAGGCTACTTTGGTGTGTCTGTGATAGATGATGAGATGATGAAAACTACTTCCCATCCTCAGGAGGGGGCGCAACCTCCATCAGAGGGCAGCAGCATCCAAGGTGTCTGCGGCTTGCTTGGCACCCGCTGGCCCGACAGACTGCATGCGCCACCAGAGGCGCCATTTGGCTTGGGGACGAAGCGGACGCTGGCGGAGTATCAAGGAGTCTTCTAAATGTAGCAGGATGTTTTACACCCCGAGATTTTGGCTGATGTTGCCTGTGTTGACGTTTTATCTGCTTTAGAGTCCGACCGCTATCCGCTATGCGACTATCTCTCAGGATTCGCGGGCGTGGATTTTGCAGCTCTACGCGTGCTGGAGCGTGGTCATTTGGGAGGCCAAGGCCAGGACACCTTCGCGCCCCTTTGGGCCGATGCTGATCGAGATCCCTGGCCATAAGCCATAAGCCATAAGCCATCCAACATGGATCAGTGACTATTAAATAGTGAAGAGGTCATGAAGGCAAAGGTAATCAAAAGGAAGAAGATGAATCCATCAGCACATCCGTGGCCGTGCCACCAAGGACAAGATAATGCTGACCAACCAGATGAAGGATGTGCAGTCCTGGGCTGGCAAGGGAAGCAAAGAGGTGAGCAAAGCCGAGGCCACAGGGCTTCGATAGAAAAAGTACGGATGTATATACATAATATATATACATATATACACACATATATGAATATGTGTATATGTATGCATATATATATATATGTATATGGGTTATATAGGGTTAGGTTGACAGTTGAAATTTGCCTCCAAATCAAGAGCTTGTTGACAGGTGGTGGTCCCACAGGTCTCGACGCAGGCAACCTGCGCTGAAAGCTGCTTTGAGTGGAACGTGCTGACTCCTTCAGCTGGACTTCTTGATAGTATAAGACTTCTGTACTGTCCTTAAGAATCATGTTTATTTTTTTGAAGTATAACCCTAAGGAAATATTTAAAATGTCATTTCTATGAGAGGCCTAAGGAGACTACAGAATTTAGAAGCGAGCTTAGCATGACTCGCTGACGCCAAGCGCTCAAGCCGGAAGCCATGCCTTTGAGTAACAGAAGTCTAGATTGCGACAAAGCCTTTGGGTGCAAACTAGCGCAGCTCCAGGATTCAGGGCAAATAGCGGCGCAGTGGGCCAGAATATTTGTAAGCCGCCCAAGATGGCTGCAGCTTCTGCAGTGGTTGCGTGCGAGCGGACAACTTGTGGTTGGCATAGTTGTACGACGTAAACCTTTGAGCAGTCGGCATGCAAGCGAAACCATTCAAAGGGTTGCTTTGGATGGCCCTTGAATCCAACAGCTCTGTCTGGTACAGACAGGGGTCGCAACTTGAAACTGCAGCATCTGCAGCCGGAGCGGCAACCTGGATTGAGCTCATCACCTGGCTGTGAGGCGTCAGAGCAGGCCAAAGACATTGCAAGACTGCGCATCCATTCCCTACGGGCGCAAGGGGAGGGAGGCCCGCAAGTGAAACATTTTCTGGTTGAATCTATCGATATTCTCCAGGTTGGCAGTCATATTGCCGTATGGAAGAACCCCAGGAGTTGTGGATGTGGAGTTGGCCAAGGCCTTCGCGGAGCTGGGCCAATTGGAGGAAGGCCCTCTGCCAGTCTGCCTTACCCTGTAGCTGGGATTTCTTTTTTGAGGCTCGCTTTTGCAAAGCTCTTGACAGGGAAGTGTTTTGGAGGCTGTCAGCGTTGGAGTCCGTTTTTCAGATCCTGCATGCCTGTCATGTCTGTGGCAACCATGATTCGAGCCTTCAATCCACCCCCTACCTCCTGAGACCTTTGACTTTGACGCTTTGTGTAGTCCGAGCTACAGTGAGCGTAGCCCGGCAGGTGCGTGGCTATGTCACAAGGGGTATCAACAAATGCTTCAAGCATAAGCAGATGGTTGATATGAAAATCGAACCTCCACCTTCGAGCTGGTAGGAAAATCAAAGCCAGGCTCTGGCAATAGTGGCGCAGCGGCAGCTGCGTTGGAGCAGGGTCTCAGGCATCTCGCTCGGGCCCGGGAGGCCAGAAGGGCGAAGGGTACAAGGACTAGGCCCAAAAAATATATTCCCGATTTCTGGGTCAGATGATAACAGGGACCCTTAAGCGACTTAAACATATTTTAAACAACTTACCATAAGTTGTGACCACCTCACCCTAGCCATACATCGGCAAGTTGACTCTTTCTATGCTTGGTGGGGTAATGACTAAGGAAGCCTGAAACAGGCAGGTTCCCAGCGAAGGGTTACTATTCAGCCATAGGCGGCGGGGAAGAGCACCAACAACCTGCGCAGAGCTAATCGCACAGGTCCAAACTTTTCTGGCGCTAGTATCGATCCTGTTGTGGTGCAGCGGTGCCACTGTCATTTTTGCAGGAGCCACCCGATGAGAAGCAAGAAATCTTTGAAGCCTCGCTGGCCTCTGCCGAAGCCTCGCTCAGGAGAGGGCTTGAGCTCCATCCCCGCATCCCGAATCCTCCAAGCTCCAAGCAATGGAGTCAGCAAGGATCAGCCTTCGCGAATTCGCGACTGCCAAAGCGCTGCTAAAAGGCCGGGCTCCTCGCATATGGCTCAACCACACCTGGCCTGTCCTCAGGCGCGCTTAAAAGTTCAGTGGCCGCCCTCGATAACCATGGCTTGGAGGCAATAAGCACTTGGGGAAAAATGCATTTCCCAAGTCTTTGATGCTTCGGAAGTGTGGGGAGCACCTGGCGTCATGGCTTCATGCGCAGGCGCTCCATGTGGCTCACAGCATTGTCGATGCCATCCACACCTCGCACGAGAGGCCACTCATGATATCTTGATTTCGCACTTCGTCACTGAGGGGCAGCTGCAAAAGGACTGATGACCGCAAGGGCCTCCAAAGCTACCACCACAACTTCGAGGCGCTTGCTGCAGCAAGTGGATTCCCGCAGAATGCTTGGCCCTGCATCAGGCACTGCTGCAGGTCCTCTGGAAACTTGTGGGCTCAGAGCCAGCGGAAGTGCCGAAGTTGCCCTGCCCTTGGCTTGGGCTGAAACAGGGGCGAATGAATCAAGACAGCTTTGATCATGTGGCACACAGGACTGCGGCCTCTCCACCACCAGAGGCAGGTGCAATTGCTTGTGAAGCTTGCGAAGTGTGTCGAAATTGCTTTTACACCCCTCCGGCAAGGATGGTTCTGAGTCCGATGTAGCTCGACTGCTTCATCGCTTGGTCCTTGTGTGCGTCGCTACGGGACGAGAAAAGGACATGGCCTTAGTGAAGTGCCTTGGAGGCAAAAATGCATCTTAGAAGCGAGACTATCCTGATGCCGGCGCTGCAAGTGAGGGCATGTTGGCAAGCAGCATAGGCGTACATGGGTGTGGACCTCTGTAAGGACGGTCTTCCAAAGATTCCGCGTTGCACGGGAGAGCCCGGCACTGCTTCGGCTGTTGGCAATGCTCCAGAGCGCGGGCCACTTTCTGACCGGCTAAAAAGGAGAAAAAGGTGAGCCCAAGATGTGCAAACGCGCGGATCCAGAGATCATCCTGGACCCTCATGTTTAATTAGGCATCCCAGAGCAGGCAGACGCTTGAAACTGCCCTTAATAAGGAGCACACTCAGACAAGGACGCATACCTTGTTGATGTTCCCCACTCCAAGGCAAGGGTGGCATGGCCATGCAGATGGATCCCTACGGCAGAGGGGGCGGCGGCGGCGACTATGGCGCCATGGCTCAGACTTTTGTGGGCCAAAAGGTTCATGAAACCGTAACGACATTGCCAGCAGATAAGCACATGTCTGCTGCAGCCTGAAAGTTAGCAGCCGGGGCGCTTGCTGAAGTTGAACCTGCTGGGCTTGAAACAGGTGGTGGGCCAGAGTAATCAGGCGAGTCCGTTCCGCCGTGATGGTGATGATGCTGATGATGATTATAAATCCGCCGTTGCCGCTCCCGCTGTTACATGTCTGTCGTAGAGGGGTGGGGCAGAGCAGTGGGTAGCTCTCAGCTGGTAACTTGTTGTCATTGCCTCCAGACGGATGCTCATATTCCAAAGATTTGAGCCTAAGAGCTGCTGCCCCAAAATAGCCTTGTTGGGCACGGCATGCGCGTCTCAGGCAAGGGCAGCTATGGCAAGCAGGAGCCTCCGCAGGCTCCCAAGGAGGCCAAAGGACTGCTCAGAACTTTGCTCTCCAATGAGGCGCCTCAGCTGCCCAGTGGACCTCCCAACTTAGAGTAGTCGAGCATTGGAACTCCAAGAGTCGTAGTGGCACCTTTGCCGGTGCTCGTTCGCTGAAAGCTCACAAGGACAGTGTTCTTGACGAGGGGGGGCCATGTCTGGACAATTCCCTCAATTCATTGTAGCAGTGAGTGCACGTGGCTGACACACACTTGATCTTATAAATAGGGGATCTATTGGGGATATATTCGGATAATGGAAAATAAAATGGAAACTCTCCAACTCTGTTGCTGGACACTCTGCAGCTGCCAAGCTGGTTGACGACTGAGGCTATCCCTGGTGGAAAGTGGAACAACGACGACAACACACTTTTCGTGGGAGGCAGCTTTGGGGATTTCACATGTTGCCGCCATTCGAGGACGATCGTTTGGATTCAGGACATGCCTAAGACGGACTGATATTTTGAGAGATGCCAAGATGCGCAAATCTCCAGAGTGTGAAGCCTTGCCTTTCAGGCCTTCCAGAGGATATGACAAATCTAGAAATGTATCAGATATTCGCACCCTTCGGGCCGATCGCCCCAAGGGGTGCTACAGCTCTCCTCGACAAGGCCAGGAGATGGGCAGATGACAAAAAGATAATGATTGTGTGGGGGGGAGAGGAAAGCATCCGGAGGAATTCCTTGCATAGGAGTCCGGCAAGTGCACGGGCATTGGCTTCGTGAACTTCATGGAGAAAGACTCCGCCGAGAAAGCAATCCGCATTCTAAACGGCTATGCCTTCCTGGCTCCTCGCCTGGGAGCAGTGGCTAGCTGTTCGCTGTCAGACTTGAAGAGCTGTTGCGGGCATTAAGGATGGCAGCTGGTTGACTGTCAAGAAGAAGGGCCCTCCAAAAAGCAAGGGCGAAGGCAAAAGCGAGGAGAAGGGGTCCGGAAAGAAAGGCGACAAGGGCAAGGGAAGGTCATAGTTGTCCCTCGTCAGCATTTTCTTGACAGCCAAGCCGCCAACTTGTTTTGCTGGCGACGTTCCGGTGTTTGCTTGCTGCTTCGAATTCCACCAGGTGGCAAGTATGGTGGCTTGTCCTGAGCGGCCTCATGTCTCTACACTGCTGGGCTCTTGAGTTATGACGCATGTTTGGTGGACCACCACAACCCAGAAGCTGTAAGCACCTCATTTGCTTCACAAGGGCTCTGCGTTTTACTACTTAGGAGCTCTGGATGACAGCCTACCAGTTGTAGATAAATCTCCTGGCACCAGAGCTCCGCCTCAGCTTGAGCAAGACTGGTTAGGGGGACAAGCTACCCCGTTAAGGAACCATGATGCAATGCTTGCATGTCGGATGCCCTAGGTATTTTACCAGTTACGTATAGTTTGCATGGGGATGCCTGGGGCGCGCGAGACTTTAATTGAGGGATCGTAAGCATTGCTGCTCTCTCGTGCTTGCCGACACTGCCAGCCACGAGTGAGTACTTGAATCAGCCCCCAATTTGAAGCCTAGATCCACAGAGAAGGCTTGCGGCTGGTTGGTAGTCCTAGATCTGCTCGCCGGGCAGCTATGTAAGCCGCGTTGCCGTTTGTCAACACTGACCTGACAGGGACATGGCGTCTGATGTTTCAACCTCAAGGCGTGATCCGTGCTGCTGAATCTCTACATATTTGAGAAGGTTCAGGTGTATCCTCATATACGGTGTGGAATGCGGGGCGCAAAAATGGCACAGACATCTTGCTCTCCACTCCTTATGATCATGCAGCCAGCGCTTGGCTGCTTCCCGTTTGAGACATCTGCGGCAACTGCATGTGGCTCGAGCTCAAAGATACTGTTAGGCTGGCAGGCTGAGACACTCCTGCGGCAAGCCAGCCACGATGAAGGGCTGGTACAAAGGCCCTATGGATTATGACATGATGTACATGGGCCCTATGGGGCCCATGGGACCGATGCCCATGCCCATGATGGGCCCCATGTTCTTTGGAAAGGGCTACATGGACTATGGCGACTTAGCTGCTGCTTCTGTTTGGAACGCAAACACTGCAGAACAGCTACTGAGCTCCTTTCGATTGCACTTGACCTACCTAGGCAAGGGCCCAATGGACGGCTTCAAAGGCTTCGGTAAGGGCTACGTTGCTCCGAAGGAGGCGAAAGGCCTCGTCAGGTCAATTGTGTCCTCTCAGGCGGGGGTAGGGGAGGAGGCTCGTGTCAAGTCTTGGTTTGAAGGGCACCTGACAAAATTGCACCTGCTGGCCAATCAGAATTTGTGTCTCCCTCCTCCTCCATTTCTGGTGAAAGTAGGTGGTCCCGGGAACTGGTGGCAAGTGGAATAACGATGAGAATACGCTGCTCGGCTTCAGGGAATGGGCAGCTACCAAGTCCGACAAGACTGCGCAGAGCACATAAAAGAAGAAATTCAACCGCAGAGAGATAGCGCGACAAAGGGTATGTTTGGCATCCCAAAAGAGGCTGCCTCAACATTGCCGAGGCTTTTCGTTGGTGGGCTGCCGCCCGACACCACGAATCTTGAGATGTACCAGATCTTCTCTGCCTTCGGGCCTATTGCCCCGCGGGGAGTGACTTAGACTTTAGACAGATGTCCGAACCACCTCGTGTAGCTCTTTTTCGCACGATACAAACGTGTATCAAACAAGGCGACTGCTCTCCTCGATAAAGACACAGGAAACTGTACCGGCATTGGCTTCATCAACTACATGTCCGCCGAGGCTGCCGAGAAGGTGCCTGGGCTTCTGAAGACACGCCCGAGTAACCGATTTGAAAGACTCCAAGAAGAAACACGCAGGCCATCCGCTCTCTCAACAGCTTCCCGTTCACAGATGGCACGCGGCTGACAGTCAAGAAGAAGGGCCCTCCAAAAAAGGGCGAAGGCAAAGGTGAAGGCAAAGACAAGGGCGATAAAGGTGGCGCGACGCAAAGAAGATCGCAAGTGAGTGAGGGCGTCAGGTTTGTCGCAGACCTTCCCCTGTGGTGCATGGACCTGAGGTAAATGAAAAAACAGTCACACGAGGCGAGAGGCCTTAAGCGTGTCTCGGCTGCATGTCCCACGTGTGCTTTGGCTTCAGTGCATCCCAGAAGCCGAGGTCATTGCCTAGTTTACACTATGTGACACTGATTGATGTCGTCTCTTGGTGGCACTGTGCCTTTAGAGGCATCGGCTTCTGTTTCTGACCTTCTCTCTGAGCTTCTCTTAGGAGTTTCCTCTCGCGCAATCTTCGCGACACATGCAACTGCCTTCTGAAGGAAAAAGGCAAAGTGACCAGTGCATTCGTGAACTTGAGCTTGTTGGAGGGAAAGGATTGGAGCGTCTTGCGGCAGCGGGCAGAAGATATAAGACAATACTGCAGGCTTTAGACTGCCATTCTGAATTTCCATCGTGTGCCTGGCAGTCATAGTCTGCGCGTCAGATGTTTGCTGCAGCTGTTCGAGACGAAGCCAAAGTCGCTTTGAAAGGGCCTGTGCAAGCTTGAGTGATTTAGCAGTGTAGTATGGCTCTGCGGCAGCTTTTGAGTGCAGGTGTAGGGAAGGCAACTGCTTCTAGTTGAGAACCGTTTCAGAGAGCAGGGCCACGCTCCGCCCAACAGTCCTGAGATTTGTGGACAGATCTGCGCAGCTGCTCTGAGCAATGGTGGTCGGAGCGATGCCCCACTTGGAAGCCAGTGGCTCGGGTAAAATTCTGTTTAAGACAGAAAGCCCTCACAAACCAGAGGCAGTGCATCTAGAAGTCTTGCTCGGGTCGCATGTCAGCTTTGGATCCCTCGTGGCGGCCCTGTTAGGCAGTGCATGGCCAAAGCTTCGTCTGACTCAAACGTGATGCCTGAGATCTTTTGTGTGTTTATTCGGTCACATACAGGGGCTCTGTGGAGTAGGTTCTCGTGACTAGGTTCTCTTGTGTGTATTTTGGGGCTCTCACAAACTTTGTACGGTTGGAGATCTGCGCTTCAATCCGCACGCCCGTGCTTTAATCATGGGGGGGGCTTCCATACAGTAGTTTCCATTTTCTTTTCCATCATCCCCATATACCCCCAGTATACTATAGTAGTTTCCATTTTATTTTCCATTACCCTAATATTCTGTATTTCTACAAAGCGTAATGCAAGGCTTCCTTCGCCGTTGCTGGTGGCCAGAGCGGAACTGCGGTGAATCATCCGCCTGCTCAGACATGTGCCTCTGTCACTGGGAATGGGGAAATTCGGCTTTTGTCCAGGAACTGTGGGCGGGCGCGTGAAAAGCAGGTTTTGTGAACGTTGCCAATCCTAGGGCCGCAGCTCAGTGTAACTGCAAGGTCTTACTAGAAGATCCCTTTGCCTTATGCGAATTAGGTATGTACAGAGGCGCCATGGCTATGAGAACCTCCAACATGGCAGGCTACCAGTGTCCGGCTCCAGCTTTGGATTTCAAGGTTCTTGGTTGAGAGCATCAAGTCAAGAAGAACTCAGGATGGGGTTGCGAAAGAAGAACACCAAGTCAGATTTAGATGACTTTGTGCATTTTTGCATTGTGCTTCACAGGCGTAGTCTATGGGAGTGTCTTGGCTGCAAGAAAGGTAGTCTCTTTTGCGCATGCCAACAACAAAAGCAGCTCGCAGGCACGTGTTTCTCAAAATGGGAATATTATCACAGCCCGCACGTGTGAATGTTCATTGGACATTGATGGTGTGAGGTGTGGTGACCCTCATTTCTGGAATCTTTGTCTGCTCCCGTTCAGCGACCTCTGTTATTGCATGCGCGTTTTCTTGCGTCTGCTTGTTCCTGCCTGCGGCTCCCCCCCATCTCAAGGAAGTGAGCAACACGAGGGCCCCTCCAAAACTCAAACGATTGGGTCTTGTGTGGCCAACGAAGGAATGCCGAGAAGGTCGACCATTTGCCACCTCCCGCTGAGTGCGACAATCCCAAATACCTGGCATCTAGGCTTGCAGGAAAATGTCGTCGCATATTCATCATGGCCGTCACCATCACCATGATGCTGATGATGATGATGCTGATCATCATCATCGTCACCATGATAACCATCATTATATGCATTCTGCACCACAGCGGCAGCGGCAGCAGCAGCAGCAGCGGTGCCAATAACAACTGCTGCCAAAGCTGCGGCCACTGCTTCTACTACTGCTATCACTACCACAGAGATACAACTTCAAACTCTAGAAGGGGTAGCAGGAGTAGGACTAGGCGGGGTGCAAGTCGTCATCATCGTCATCGTCGTCGTCATCATCCTGTCTTCTCGTTGCTGATGTGGATATTTAGTGCCTATTTTTTTGTGTTGCTGCTAGCAGATTCAGATGCCCAGGTTGCCCTAGTCATAGTATGCAATCCTGCAGACGCAGCCCTGACACAGCTTTCGAAAAACAATGGAGTGGCGCTCTGCATCTGCATGAGCGACTGCAATAAGTGGTAGCCTGCACGCAGCAAGTCCCAACTGTTTGGGATCAATGCATCCAAATAGAGTTAGCAATGACCATTTCCATT